CTAGAGAGTGACTCTCCCCCAAGACAAGCAGCATCCGCGAAGGCTATCCCTGTCTCATCTGAAGGGATGATTCCAATCGATCAACTGAAGGAGTTCATCGAAGGAACCATTAAGAACAAATATGAAGTTGCTGCCAAATCCTCCCTTATATGCAAAGCCGTACACTGCAAGGGTCGATATGTTGAAGATGCCTGCTGGCTATCAACCTCCGAAGTTTCAACAGTTTGATGGTAAAGGTAACCCGAAGCAACATGTTGTGCACTTCGTGGAGACGTGCAATAATGCTGGGACTTATGGAGATTACCTCATCAAGAAGTTTGTCCGCTCGCTAAAAAGAAACGCTTTTGACTGGTACACGGACCTCAAGGTTGGATCTATTGACAGCTGGGATCAAGTCCTCAATCACTTTTATAGCACAAGACGCACGGTGAGTATGATAGAGCTTACAAATACTCGTCAACGAAAGGGGGAACCAGTTATCGACTTTATCAATCGTTGGAGGAATGCAAGCCTCAACTGCAAAGACAGGCTTAGTGAAGCTTCAGGCATAGAGATGTGCATCCAAGGCATGCATTGGGGGTTGCGGTACATCTTGCAAGGTACCAAGCCTGGCACGTTTGAAGAACTTACAACTCGTTCCCATGACATGGAATTGAGCATGGCCTCCGCTGGAAATGAAAGGCTGCCCATCTATGAACCTCGCAAAGCGAATGACAAGCAAGAAGTCAGGAAGTGGGGCAAGTTCGTACCCAAGTCTGAAAGCAAAGAAGCTATGAATGTCAATACGTCACCTATGAAGTTCACGACGAAGGTGAGCAAGAAGCAGAGTATGAAATCCACTTCTTTTCAAGACAAGCCAAGTGGAAAGTTGACTCTAAAAGAGATGCAGGAGAAAGAGTACCCATTCCTGGATTCTGATGTGCCAACCATTTTCGAAGAACTCCTCGAGTTAAATCTTATTGAGCTTCCGGAGATGAAGCGACCAAATGAAGCTGGGAAAACAAATGACCCAAACTATTGCAAATATCACCGACTTGTAAGCCACCCTCTGGAGAAGTGCTTTGTCTTCAAGGACAAAGTCATGCACTTGGCTCGCGAAAAGAAGATCGTGCTGGAAGATGAGAAAGCAAGCGCAAACCAAGTCTCTATCACCTTCGGCTCATTTAGTCCGGATGAATTATGCGGTATTAAAGAAAGTAAAAATGAAGAATTACTGGAGAACAACAAAGTTGAAGATGATCAACCTGATGAAGATGAAGGTTGGACGTTGGTGACTCGTCGTAGGCGCCACAAAAGGAGCCCACGAAAAGAATCAGTAGAACAACCAACAAGGAAGATGATGGTAAAAAGACCAATGAAAAAGAATCCAATTAAGCGTTTGAAGAAAGCAAAAGTGGAGATGCACCACCCTCAAAAGCCACGACATACAGTAACTTTGGAGGATTTCTTGCCATCTTGGTTCCGCACGAAGATTTCCTGTGATCGTGTTGAGGCCTCTTGTTGCCATGCTGACAAAGGGGAAGAAAAGAGTGATGACCTATTGTTGGCACCATCTTCGGAAAATCCCATCGAGTCCACTCCTCAAGAAGTTAATGCTTGTGAGGAAAAGGTCACGTTCACAAATGACGATCTTTTGCTAGGGGAAATCATTGCCTTAGCTTTTTCTCATAATTGTTTACAACCCTTATTTTTTTACTTAGTTACAGCCATTTAGTTATTTGCAAGCTAGTTATTAAAGAACACTCAACTGAGATTTGAATATTTGGGAAGCTGGTTCTGAAGACTTAGTGGGTCTGAAGATAGCGGTTGAGAGGTTAACTCTCTGTGGATTCGACCTTGGGCGTAATACTCGGGTTATATTTGCAACGTCCGCAGAGTCCTTTTTATAGGGCATAGTTGGGCGTGATCAGAGTCTAATTGATTGTTACAGATTTTCCTTAAGTTAAAATCTTTCCCATCTTTCTGACCTGGTTCATTCATACAAAATCTTCAATTTTCGATTTACTAGCTGTTAATTGATTCCCTTGCCTTATTTGCACAAACCGTGTACTGTCAAGACCTTGTCCTTAAATAAACCTCTATGTATTTATCCCTCTTGTACTGCTTTGTAAAAAGTGTTTGAGTAATCTCTTTCCTTAATTATTTTTACCCGTTTGAAATCAGAATCCTTTAATTAAAGGGAAACCTTGTGTAATTGATTTTCAAACTATTTTCAAGTCCAAATCTGAGTCATTTCCTACATACTTTGATGTTGTCCCTTCTAATGAACCTGCTAGTCACAATGATATCACAGAAATGTACACCGATGATTCCCCATTTGATGCCTCCTACATGAATTCACCTAGTTCAGATGATCCAGCACCTACTCCACCTCTTTCACCTCATTCACCTTCTTCTTCTCCAGTTCCAACTTCTCTTCCTAGCACCTCTGCACTATCTCCACCACATTCACCTTCACTCATTGATTTTTCGCCGGTACATCATCCTCCCACACTCCTGAGAAGATCAGAAAGGGAACACAAAACTCCTGTCTCTAAAAGATTATGTCCACAAAATCAGCAACACTGATAGACATTCTTTTTCTCTCAGTACTTTGTTTTCTAAATGCCACCACATAGCCCATGAGTCAATGAATCCTAATAGTCAGACTTTGGTAAACAGTATTTGCAATGTTAGTGAGCCATCTTCTTTTGAGGAAGCCGCTGTCAGCCCTGCTTGGAAAGCAGCAATGATTCAAGAATTTGAGGCTCTTTATGCTAACAATACCTGGAATTTAGTACCTCTTCCATCTGATAAGAAAGCAATAAGCTGTAGATGAGTCTACAAAATAAAACACAGGTGTGATGGCACAATAGAGAGGTATAATGTCAGGCTAGTTGTGAAAGGCTATACTCAACAAGAAGGTGTAGATTTCACAGAAACATTTTCTCCTGTGGTGAAGATGACCACAGTGAGAACTTTGATTGCAGTAGCAGTAAAGAACAGTCGGGCAATGTTCCATTTGGATGTTAACAATGCTTTTCTCCATGGGGATTTACATGAAGATGTATATATGCAGATCCCACCAGGCCTCATGGTGGAGGATAAGTCACTGGTTTGCAAGTTAAATAAGTCTTTATATAGACTCAAACAAGCTAGTAGACAATGGTATGAGAAACTAACTGAGACTTTATGTTCTAAAGGTTTCAGTCACTCATTAAATGATTATTCATTATTTCACAAACAACATGGGGATTCAGTGGTTTATGTGGCAGTTTATGTAGATGACATCTTGGTCACAGGGACAGATCTGGAGGAAATACTACAATTGAAAATCTTTCTTCATGACAAGTTCAAGATAAAGGACCTAGGTAATTTACACTACTTCTTAGGCCTAGAAGTACTGTACAAGCCTGATGGTGTGACCATTTCCCAAAGAAAATTTGTTCTGGACTTATTGAAAGAGTACAATTGTTTGGAATATACTGCTTTCAGCTCCCCACTTGATCCTAATGAAAAACTTAAAGCCAAGGAAGGTAAGCCTTTGGATGATCCAACCTTTTACAGGAAACTAATACGGAAGTTAAACTTTCTTACTAATACTAGATTGGACATAGCTTTTGGGGTTCAACATTTAAGCCAATTCATGCAAGATCCTAGTACCATCTGCTGAGGTATCTCAAGGGTGATCCTACATTAGGAGTCCTTATGTCCAAATCTGAGGATTGGACTGTCAGAGCCTTCTGTGACTCGGATTGGGCCTCCTGTCCAGACACAAGAAGATTTGTAAGTAGGTACATTGTTTTGCTGGGAAATAGTCCACTCAGCTGGAAGTCCAAGAAGCAGGAAGTTGTTTCTTTATCTTCAACAGAGGCAGAGTACAGGTCGCTTAGAAAGGTAGTTGGTGAACTGGTGTGGGTCAGCAGACTTTTGGCTGAACTGAGAGTTCCCTCTATACACCCCATTCCAGTGTTCTGTGATAGTTTGTCAGCCTTGCACATAGCTAAAAATCCTATGTTCCACGAACGCACCAAACACATCGAGGTTGACTGCCATTTTGTGAGGAAACAACTGCAAGAGGGTCTTATTTCATTGTATCACATCGCAACTGATCAACAACTTGCGGATATCCTTACCAAGGCTTTAACAGACGCAGAAAAAGCTCCGAGCTTCTTTTCATCATTTCCATGTTCCTCTTCTTCTCCACTTTCTTTGTTCAGCTCTAGAAGCTTCTTCATCTACCATGGCAGACATGACTGAGCTCAATTGCTCTGCTTTCAGCAACGATCTTTACTGTTACACTTTAATCTCATATCATTTTCCACTTCAAATTTCTTTTTTCTTCTTTTATATAGATAAATAATTTCCTAAATATGTTCCTTGCTCGCACACTACTTTTGTCGCCTTGCTTCCTTTTTTATTTGTGTGTTATTTTGGTTCTGAACTCCCTGCCTTCTAGGTTTTTGCTTCATAATGCCAATATTCCTTGAGGTAATGATATTGTAGGTGGGACAAAGCGCAAAATATGAAGAGAGGTTTCTGATATTATTATAAATTTCATACATCGTGGACGAGTAATTAAAAAAAAAAAGATAATTTTTTCTTAATAATTTGGGGAATGGAAATTAAACTTTTTTTTGTTCTTCCCCAAAATATCTTTAAAAAAAATTGCACCAACCGATTGCAAGATACTAAAAATAAAAACCAGTGATCGGATTTTATTAGTAAATAAAACATGTAAACAAAAACAATGAAGAGGCAGGACATCAACCAAACGTACCTCACTAAACATAATACACACGGAGACAATAAAATTAATATAAACAAAATATTAATCATCATATCTTGAATTCTTCCCTTATCTATTCAACATCAGCAACATCCACTATCAAAAAAATTTCGGATTCACGTAAACCTAGTAATTTTTGTCTTGATTTTGTATATATATTAAAAAATTTACTAAATGTTTATCACCAATTACTGACTACTACAGGGATGGACCCAATCCGAAATATGAACCATAAAAGAAATACATATTAAATTGATTACAAGAATAATAGTTATAGTACCTATTATCCAAAAATGAATCCTTTCAGTAGTATCGCCATTTACGTCATGTAATATTAACTTGAGGACTTTGTTGTAGGAACTCATTAGCTTCAAAATTCTAAATCCGCCTCGAAAAATTACAGAACGCAATGAACAATCAAGAATATGAACCATAAAATAAAATAACTATTAAAACGATTACAAGAATACCAGTTACAATATCTAATATCCAAAAAAAAAAAAAAAAGGAATCCTTTCATAGTATCGGCCATTTATCCCATGTAATATTAATTTGCATACGTCGTTATACCAACTCATAAACTTCAAAATCCTGTATCTTCCTCGAAAAATTACAGAACGCGATCGAAATATACGTCATGCACGTGTCCTCCCCACATTGTTCTACCAACAGTTTGCTCAAAAGACTTTGGTTTGTCTCTTAATTCCTCAGCTGCTTCATGATTGAGTGGATCCTCATGATTTGGTTCAGTAAACAAATGAATCAAACCATAAATTACTGCATTAATATTCAAAACAGGTTTCCAATCTTCTCTAAGAATATTAAGACAAACATTTCCTTCTAAATCAATATTTGGATGATAAACTTTAACTTTACACTTAACTTTTGGTGCATCATGTGGATAAAGTATTGGAATTTCAAAAGTAAAAGGAAATGTACCATCTGTATAATAACCTTCATCTGGTTTAATTGTGACTTCAAAATGCATAAGATCATCTTTTCCATTAGGAAATTCAATGGTACAAATTGGTGGTAATGTTAATTCACTAATATCTCTATGAAGCCTTAATTTTGATGCAGTTTGCTCCTTAATTTGTTGTTTTCCTTCTGCATTTTCAGCTGCTTCTTTCTGCTTTTCCTTTACTTTAAACAAATTAATCATGGTTCTAATTGTTAATTAATTAGCGAGTCGCGGAGTTTAATTAATATGACAAATTGAGGAGATTCGCAATAATTATCGGATTAATTTTTTTTAAGTTGTGGATGATATTGTAAATGTGACCGAGTCATTGGAGGAGTTATTAATATCTTTTTACCACTTCTTTAACTAACTCTTCCCTTAGTACTTACAATTTGTTCTACAATTATGATTTTTTTTATTTATTTTAGGTTATATAAATTAACAGTTTAAATAATTGTTACGTGGAATTTAATAGACTATGGCAGGTTTTTACTATGTCACAATATTTTTAAGGGTCCTGTACTACTAAAAATAAGTTATATATATCACCAATTTCACTTTTTTGAATATTTTAATTTCTACCGTTAAACTTTTAGTTAAAATATGCCCTCACACATAAAATGCTTAGAGCCTGTTTGGATTAGCTGATAAGCATTAGGTGCTGAAAAATATTTTTAAGTACTAAATTGATTTAATAAATAAGTAGTTACGTGTTTGGATACAAGTGTTGAAATTGATAATAAGTTACTGCAGTATTTGATAAAAAAAGTGCTGATAAGCTCTTTTTCTGTTAAAATGACTTAAATAACCTTAGAACTGTTTGCACTTATAAGGGCGTAATTTCTTCAAAATTTTAGATTCTAGATCGATTCAAATACAAAATATTCTATTTGTCATTTAATTTTAAATACACCAAAAATTTGATATGTCATCATTTATTACATACAATTCAAACATTAATACACAATCACATAGATATAAGTATGCAAGAAATAGAAAATTTGTTTATCTTAAATTGTCAATGAGAATTGCAGACTTGAAGAGGTGGAGGGTGGGGGT